TATATTTTACCCTTAGTAGTGGAAGATCAATTTGATGACTCAAGCTGTGCATTTCTATGGACACTGAAACAGTCATTATATGATATGAATTTGCAGACTTTGCAAACTTTTGGAACACAGTGAAATTCACATAAGCGAATCCTCGCATTCTCATGTGTGCCAATGAAAGTCAATAAATTAAAACGTATAATGCTACGCTCCTTCGGACACTGAAAGGATACTGAATATGAAATATGCAAGTTAAAACTAGCAATGTTCTGATTTAATAAAAAATGTAAGAAACATTATCAAACTGATTATATCAAATGGCCCCAAAACTGAAAAGAAATAGTTTTTGGGTCCATTCACAGAATGTGAGTAGTTTGTAACCATGCACTAGACATCTTTAAAAGTTGTGCCGCTTCTATCTTCTTTCCAGCACCTCGCTCACAAGTGCCATGCTGTTAAGATGTTGTATCAGTTTAAAACAAAATATGTCTCAAGATGCTGTCTTTCCATTTCATTGCATTTTGTTGCGCATTTTTAAACATCCATTAAGGTCTAAAACAGGGCTGTCCAAACTCAGTCCTGGAGGGCCGGTGTCCTGCAGAGTTTAGCTCAAACTTGCCTCAACACACCTGCCGAGAAGTTTCTAGCATGCCTAGTATAACCTTGATTAGGTGGTTCAGGTGTGTTTAATTGGGGTTGGAGCTAAACTCTGCAGGACAGTGGCCCTCCAGGACCGAGTTTGGACACCCCTGGTCTAAAAGATGTGTTGCTCATGGCCAACGCTCAAATGCATTTGTTGAGCGCATGTTTGCATTGAAAAACAATCACAAGCAAACACATTTAAACCATCCCTTTGAGTTTCATGATGGATGATTAAATTTAATATAGGCTACAAAACGGCCAAAAGGTTCAAACATTTATGCATAAAAACTACTACTAAAAACTACTACTTTCTATGGCGTTTCTGAGCCACATTCACATGAGAATGATAACTATATAGCATCCATACCAATGTACAATAACATTCTGTTTATTATAATCTCAAACTCTTTGAAATTGGGTGGATTGTGATTGGCTGCCAAAGTTTTTACTTTTCATTAGCTGGGGAAAAAAATTGTTCTGAAAGTGAGTCCAATATTATTCCTGTGTTTTTATAGTTGTGGTATGGTATGGACTGACTTCCCAATATAAGTATAGAACGATTGTTATTAAAACTTTACTTTATCCTTAGTGTGAACAGGCCTTAACAGTTTACATTTGGGCTTTCATATCAACAAACCGTCATGCAGAAATACCTCATCAGAGCTCAGTCAATGAAGCACATCTGTTTAATTAACAAAGGCTTTATGGGCCATGTGTCAGTTAATTATTGGGGGATCCATTTTCAGAGTTCATATGCAGGTTTGGTTACCACATGCAAATCATAGATTTGCGAAAACGTACAAATTTTCATGTATAAATCTCAGCGTAAACTGCTCAAACGTTTGTCTCAGTGCAAGCCAAAATCTTAAAATGTGACTGGTCCATTTGGATCATGATTTATTTGTCCCAAGGCACCTTAAACAGATGTCTTAACATGTTATTTCATTGCCAAAGCAATAGGAAAAGACGGTAATCAAGGGAATAAAACCTTTTTACAAGGAAGCAGGTCCACGGGTCACTGAACACTATGTGCTAAAACACGATGTTGCTAGGACATCACAGACCCGTCAACAGCAATCCGGCTGCTGTCACTGTCCAATAAAACCTCCATGAGGCTGACGAACGAGCATGTCAGCGCGGCAAATTAAAGTGCTCTGACCTCATAGGAAGAAACCCTTACCTATAAATACCAGTGGACTGTTATTCAGAGGGACAGGTGAGGTAGGGGTGCTTTTGCTAAAGAAGACTGCGTATGGAACATTCATCATCGTCACATCTGATGAGCTCCATTGCTTGGGCTGCATTTGATGGATGGGAGCGTGTGTAATGCCAGGAGGGCAGGAACAGGAAGTAAGCTTGGGTGTGACACTCTGAGCTGAGATTATTACTGTCAGCTTTACACTTACGAATGAATCACTGCCTCCGTTTTCCAAAGAAAATCTCCAAATCATGCAGTAGCCTATGTAATGTGACCTACCAGCATCAGTTGCATTACTTCACTGCCTTTTAGAAATCCTCACCCGTGGCCTCATGGGATGGGAAAGTGTCCATCAGATGTGCTCTTCAGAATCTTGCTGAAGTAGTAGATCATCTGGAGACTTTTTTCGACTACAGTTTTACTGTGAATTTGGACGTTACTCGACCCCCATACTGTTTTTGCCTACTATATAGTAGTAGAAGTATGTGGTTTTGGAGGCATCCACAGTGTGCCATAAAACTATGAAAAAAACATTATTCTCAATTGAAATCTCATTTGGCCAAGTAGTGATTTAACTTTTTTTAGTTTAAAGGACCACGCCACTATTTTTGAAAATAGGCTCATTTTCCAACTCCCCTAGAGTTAAACCGTTGAGTTTTACCGTTTTCAAATCCATTCAGCCGATCTCCGGGTCTGGCGGTAGCTTAGCATATATCATTGAATCTGATTAGACCGTTAGCATCTCGCTCAAAAATGAGCAAAGAATTTCTATATTTTTCCTATTTAAAACTTGACTCTTCTGTAGTTACATCGTGTACTAAGACCGACAGAAAATGAAAAGTTGCGATTTTCTAGGCCAATATGGCTAGGAACTATACTCTCATTCCGGTGTGATAATCAAGGAACTTTGCTGCCGTATGGGTGCAGCAGGCACAATGATATTACGCAGCACCTGAAAATAGTCCCCAGCTAGGTAATATCGAAACTCTTTGGTCATTTTTGAGCGAGATGCTAATGGTCTAATCAGATTCAATGATCTATGTTAAGCTACAGCTAAAAGTGCTACCGCCAGACCCAGAGATCGGCTGAATGGATTCGAAAACGGTAAAACTCAACTGTTTAACTCTAGGGAAGTTGGAAAATTAGCCTATTTTCAAAAATAGTGGCGTGTTCCTTTAAATGTGTGACATGAATAAACAAATGGCTGTTGAGATTCTAAATTGAAATGATTAGACAACAAGCGGATAAGATGCGAAATATACTCCGTCTGGCATTATACGGTAAGCATGACTGGGCCTTACATCAAAACTCTATGTCTTCCAAAAACAGGCAGTTTCAAAACAACATACTACTACTTCTACTCCTACAATCAACCTATCAATAAAAAAATAAATAAAGTGTAATTTTTAGAGATTAATTTCTGGCTGTCAGTTTATTTACAGGAAATTCAATATTCAAATGTGTATTTATTCATTAAGCATTTGTCTCTTTCAAAAGTTACTTTAAAAAATAAATTTAAATATTTAAAACATGTAAATAACCTGTTTACCCCATTTGTTAATGTAAATGTATTTTTTAGCCATAATACCACATATTTTTTGGACATGTTCCATTTACTTACTTATTTACTTACTGTAGAGCAGGGGTTCCCAACCTTTTTTGGTTTTTTAAATTTCCCATTTTATTTTTTAATTAATAATTCGTTTTTCATCAACACAAACTGCAGTTTGGGAAACCCTGCTGTAGAGAACCATGTAAATACCATGGTGTGTAAAACTCATTTCATTGCACCTTGAAAACTGCCATCTGATACAGGCACTGTACTATATCAGCAGCACCACTTTTCTTTTATATTGTAGCAAGTTTTCCTTAATCCATTTTTTCCAAGAGGTTTTGATAGTACACTGAAGCTGTATTTGCATTACAGTAACATGATTAAATTATAACGGTGAGTTAAATAGATCCTATCCATGCAGAAATATCATCTCTCGCCATTCAAAATTTATAACACCCTCAGGATTTAAAACCACGATCAATGTCAATCCAATCCCTCCAGTCCCACCTGAGGCCCCATTGTAGAGGGACCTGTGACTGTGCTCAGAAACAGACAGGATGAAAGGTTTGGGTTTTTTTTAATGAGATGATGGGTACTAGCATGAACCTGTACCTATGATGGCGGGTCCCATCAATTTTTATTGACCCCGTTTAATTGGCTCCAGTGGACAAGCGGGAGTAAAGTGAGAGAGGCTCCTCTGCATGTATTGATCCTGCAACTTGTTGCCCGACTTTCCCACACTAGTTTACAATCTTCCAGTCTTTTGGGTTTTAAGAAGGTTGTGTGTAATGTCAGTGTCAAAGGTTAATTTATTTAGTCAACACCAACAGCAGTGGTAAAGGACTCCAGGTTATTAACTCCAGTTAATAAGCTCCAGTGACAGCAATTAGTTTCATTAACCATCTGATCATAAGAATTTTCTCACCTCTGCTACTCCAAAAAAATCATGGCATAGGTTAACTATTTCCATCTATTTAATTTTATTTAAATCACATTTTCAAAATGGATTTATCCATATTGCTTAGAATCAGCATTAAAAAGTGTGAACATGGTTAAAATATGGCTAGCTGTGGAATAAGCAATTACTGTAAAATTACTGTGAATTTAAAATACATTAACTTTATTAGTACCATTTCAAAAATCTTACCCGTTTCTTTTATTTATGACTGATAAATATACATCACAAATGTATTCGTTTTTTTTAAATTAATCCAAATGGGTGGACATTTTATATGCCATTGAAATAAGTATATCTTAAATTTAGGCCTAATTATTTTTAAGGGTCAGTGTTATTCTAGCATTATTTATATATTATTATAGTATTTATTAATATTTTGAATTAGCTTTTACTTTTTAGTTTAGTTCGTTTTAATGTTAGTTATTTTAAGTTGTGAAGTTTCCTTTGGCATTTTTTTTTTTATGTTTTAAAATTGAACTTTATTTTTTATTTCAGTTTTTGTTTTAGTAATTTTAGTACTTAAACATATTTCAGTTAGTTGCCAAAGCAACATTTCTCATTTTGTAAAAGTTTTTCATCTGATATGTATGTTATTTTATTTCAGCTTCATTTCAGTTAGTAAAAACAATTATTAATAGTTTGAGTTAACAATAACACTGCATTAGGTGCCATCTATAGGCTCTTTTGAACATCGAGTGAAAATCAGGACATTTTGGTGGACGTTTGATCACTTTAACAAATGAACAACAGTTTATTCCCTTAAGAAAACAAACAAAATTTATTCACAAACATTGATTCGTTCTGTAACAAAGCAAAGCTTCTCCAATGCATGCCTTTCCTTTAATCAGTTTCCCATTTTAGCCCTTGAAACCAACAGAAATGTCTGTAAGATGAACTCAAACTAGATCTAAATCATAATGCTACTTTATCACAGAACCCAAGTTATGAATTAACATTTAATTTCCAGGGAAATGTCCTATCTTCCCACTCTCTTTAGTTATATAAGTTGACTTTGGCTGATTTAGTGGCTAAATTGTATTCGGCTGGCATTGCACTGCGAGCACACAACGACAAGCGCACAATGATAATGTGCCAGAGGATGAGGAGAGAGAGTTAATTGGGTTTGCCCTCTCTCTTAGGATGCATAGATTAAGAGGAATCATAAATTAACAGACCTATTGAGTCTTAATTGTGGCTGGTGAGTGGAAATCTCACCCTCATTATGGCCTCTGTGCTTTTACCCTGGTGATCATCGTTCAGGCATCACACAGAGACAACTAAAGGTCATATACTGCTGCCAAACAATAAAGAAATTCATGAGGGTGAAGGAACTCTCCAAGATACGTTTTAGTATGCAAAACTGGGTACCATAGTGATTATCTACTAAATATCAGTGAGGCTGGTGAGGTAGCTGGTAAAATAATCATATTCAGATGATGGCTTCAGTGAATTTGAGCTTTTTTGACCTCACAAACGGACTGACTGCCACTTTATGTAGTTTTAAGTTAATGGTGATAGATACAATAACAAACTGCTATATAATAATTTATTTTTGATACTTTACTTCCCAATAATCAATTAGTGACAGCGACTGACTCAAAATTTGTTTTAAAACTAGGTTTTGGAAGAGTGTGAAAAAATAATATTTGAGCAATTTGTTTAGTAGAATTAAGACTCACACGATGTGGACTTACTCTGTGTTGACACTGACTGTATAATTTTAGCAGCTTAATATAATATTCTGTTGAATTTAAATGAGGCTGGTAACTAAGTAATTTGTTTGTACAAGGGTGCCCTCTAGTGTATATTTTGGAGCACAAACTACCTCCAAATACATACCATTCTGTTTTTAGATTTTGAATGAAAGGAATAGTTAACTCAAAAATAAAAATTTGCTCTATTAAACACCCTTGCCCTTAAATATTTAATTTATTTGAGCTTCACAATCTTGCCCGACTGAACACATCTATGGTATAATCTCTCCTAAAATGTGTTTCTGCAAATTCTGTCCTGCTCCATCTGAGACTTGGCCTTCTTTTTCAGCAGTAGGATGTGTTCGGCGAACTCTCGCACGGCTCCGCGCCCTGCTGCGTTGCGGCAGATGTATTTGGCATGGTTGAGCGCCACCGTTGGGGCATCCATGGGTACTCCGCTCAACCCTGCCAGTTCCAGGCATTTTATATCCGCCTCATCATTTCCTAAAACACAGATGCCATTTTATAATAGTCATTTTAAAGAAATGGGTACGTTTAAGTCAATCTAATGAAACATTATAACATTATCAAAATGACCAGATAAATAGCTGATAAAGTAATAGGTTTTAGTATTTGTAGTTAATATTGAGGTACAATCTTTTTAATCTGTATTAGCCACACCAACTTTGCCGAGACACACCATGTTGTTACTGATCATGGCATTTGGCTGATGTAACTGAAAGAAACAGAGCTCCTGTCTCACCTAAATATGCCACCTCTTTCCACTCCATTTTTTTTTCCTTCATGAGTTCCTGCACCTTCTTCAGTTTGTCATCCACTTTCTGCAGGAGTGGACAGCCCATTCTCTGTGAGAGTTTGTCTGCTAAGGCTTTTGTTATGGGGTCTTTTTCGATCAAAATAACCTAGAGGAAAGGGGGGAAAAACAATATACACACACATACATTTTAAATGAGTGTTCATCAGAAGCAAGAAAATTATACAGTTTTGGAACAGCTTAAGGATGAATAAATGGTAACAGATTTTTTAAATTCAATTATCAATTTAATACACACTTCTTTTTTTAACTAATAGATCAGTCTCCGTAAAGACCGTCAAAAATTGCCAGTGCCGACTATATTTCAAGTCGTCACGGCGGGGTATTGGGTAAAGTTTTCAATTAGCAATAATCGCGCCTCGGATAAACCTCATAGGCTACAATACTGCCACTGCGCAAAGATAACCGGCTAAAGGAGACATCTGAGTACTTGTCCGTCTGAGCCCCTGTGATCATCAATGGTGGGATCTGCAGAACTCAGTAAAAATGATCAAACTGCACAAATCTAAACTTAAACTGTTAAAACCGGCCGTTTTAAAAAGTGAAATATCAAGTTGTGGATTTTATACCCAAGTTATATTGAATTAAAAGACAAAAACAAGAGGGGTCCCAGTTGCATGATGGGATACGAAGGGGCAAAGACAAAAGAGGAATGGGTCTATTGTTGTGTAGAGGTCGGGGGTGGGTAACACAAGGTTGCCAATCAAGCCAGAATCACCTTCACTGCCTCTTTCTTCAGCATGTCGATGCCAGCCTGGTCTCTGGTATTGATTGACACCATCTCCTCTCCTTTTGCTGAGATGTAGATCTGACCGTCTGTCAGACATCCTGAGACGTTGCACAGCAGAAGTCTCACAACTTCAGGTTTGTCCTTACCAAAGTAACCGAACCTGTATCAAACATACACACCCACACACAGTTTGTTTAAATTCAGACTTTGTACTCTTTGCATTGTGGTTGTTTGCTAACAAAGTTGCTTGGAGACTTTTGTTTCTTGACCTCAGCACTCTCTGTTCAGCTACGGGCCAGTCTATGTCAACATCAATATCCACACTGTACTCGGGCTTCATCTCAAAGTACTTCATTTTACCACTCTGTCAAATGTAAAAACAAAATCACAGTCATGCCAAAATATTAAGAGATTGACTGAGGATATTGAGTAAAATGGTGGCCTTAATGGTACTCATTTTAAATCCCAAAATATTACCTGAAGAAACCCCTTTTCTAGAAGTTCTTTGGTAGTGAAGTAAAAAGAGCCGTTTTCACACAGCTCTCCTGCCCAGTCCTGACGCCGCGGCCTGCAAACTGGGTTCAGGTTCAGTGCCTTAGTACATTGGCCATCTGTAATTTAAATAAAAAATTTGAGTCTCCAACATGCAATAAATACTACCTAAACTGAAATACAAGTACACTGCTGTACAAAAGTAAGTGGGTAAGATTTGTAATGTTTTGGAAAATCTCTTAAGAAAGTGTTCATTTCTTTAAAAAAAAATCTTACCGACACCAAACTTTTGAAAAGTAGTGCAAAACTAGTCTAAGACTCGATTCACAAGTGTTCTGAACATGTGCATGTAACAGTATTGTTTTCTAAACTGACCATTTACAGAATGCACTTCAACAAACCTCCTTTCTCGACCTCTTGCCATCGGAAATGGTGTCGCCGGACCACAGAGAAGACAGAATCAAACCCTTCTTTGGTGATGAACTCCACAGCCTCTTTGAGATGGTGGGGGTGCAGACATGGAGATGTGGCCTGGATGTTACAGATGACGCCAAAATCTGTGCAAGAACATTAAATTAACGGTAACCACATTTGTAGCCAATTTTCGATTTCTGTGCTCCCCCAACTGTTATTTACTAGACTGTAAAATTACCAGCAATTTCTGAGTAAAAATGAAAAAAAAAAACAGCAAGTAACACATTGAATGAAATGTAAAACTGAAATAGTATTTTCTTGTAATATGTACTCCAACATCTTTTCTTTATTTACAACTTTGAAAAATATTTAATTTTATATACAGTATATATACATATATATATACACATTTGTATATGTACGTTTACTATCTTTTTACACTCCAGACCAGAGACTGAAGGAAAATATTGCTTAAACCTTAACTATGAAAACATTCCCCTTATGCCGAATCTAGCAAGGTTTTGAAGCTTGCAACCTTGAGGAACAAGCTGTGTCTCTCTCTCATTTACATTTACATTTAGCAGACGCTTTTATCCAAAGCGACTTACAAATGAGGACAATAAAAGCAGTCAAAACTAACAAAAGAGCAACAATATATAAGTGCAAATGACAAGTCTCGGTTAGCCTAATGCACTACACGTAGCAAGGTGTGTGTATATATATATATATATATATATATATTATACACACACACACACATATATACAAACACACATACACAAAGAAAAACTAGTAGATAGAATAGAAAAAATAGAAAGCTAGTGTTTGTTTTTTGTTGTTTTTTTAAATAAAAAAAAGAAGATAAATATAAAGTAGAATTAAAATAGAATAGAAAGTGTTAGAGTTAGAGGGTCAAATAAAGCTCTCTCAGTTTCTTTGTTACAGGGGAATAAATATATTTCATCAGAACTAGAGGTCGACCGATATATCGGGCCGATATTTGTCATTTTTTAATATATCGGCATCGGCCGATATCCGTGTTTAGTAGCGCCGATTTAAAGTCAGGCACGTCCGAGAGCTGCCCTGTGTTATTGGTGCGGTGGAAAGTGCTGCTGCCGCATGTGAAGGACCCCAAGCCAAAACTTTTGGAAGATTCAACAACAGTCAGCTGCAAGCGATCTGTGCTGTTTTTCAGTTCATCTCAATGGATGTGCAACGTACAACTTACCGTACACTCTAGTGTGAAGGCGCACGACTCGCCGTCGCTTTGTCTCTCACACACACGCAGCGAGAGAGAACTGACGCGCTACCTATGCGCGCTACATGTAAACGATATTTGTTATATTTTGCTGTCAAAATAACGGAGTTCCTTTCTTCTTCTTCTTGTACGATTTTATGGCGGTTGACAAGCCAACTTATGGTGTATTACCGCCACCAACTGGACTGGAGTGTGAAGCATTAACGGGAAAGAGGGAAAAAGGAACCAAAAAAAATAAATAAATAAATAAAATGATTAATAATAATAAAAAAAAATAAAATAAACGTCTTCCTAACCTTTTTAAAAGCCTTATTTCTGGCTTGTATTGCTTTGTTACATAATTCTGTCCACCACGGTACGGTCTTCTTTCTTTTTCCCCCTTTACTCTTCCCAATAACCTCTTCAGCTGTACTATACAATACTTCACATAATTTCTCATTATATTTTTCTACATCCTCCATTTCCTCATTTACACTCAACTCTTGAAACTTAACATCAGTAATATATTTAAATGCTTCCCAATTTGCGGATTTAAATGTTCATCTACTTATCTTTTCCTCTAAATCTTCACTAACATCTACGCCTATTTTACAACAAATAACATAGTGATCACTTCCTATCGTAGAGTCCTCCCAAACCTCCCATGTACATACCCCTGCTAGACATTCTGACACCATTGTTAGATCAATATACGAACAGCTACCCCGAGCCAAATCAATTCTAGTAGCTCTACCATCATTCATACACACCAGACCCTTCAACTCCAGCATTTCTTCTATTATCGTACCATTATGATCAGTGTTATCACTTCCCCAAAGAGTACTGTGCGCATTAAAATCCCCACACCATATCACTTTTTGATTACCTATTCCCAATATACTTTCTAACACTTCCATACTAAGTCTACTGCAAGGATTATAAAAATTAATCACCGTGATACACTGTCCTCTTAAAAACACCTCTACTATGATTGATTCATATTCATCACTCACTTCTATAATCCTATGTGAAATTCCATTTTTAACAAATATTGCCACCCCTCCACCATTACCTGTCTGTCTATCTCTTCAAATAGTTATATAACCTTGTATTACAAAATCTAAATGTGATTTCAACCATGTCTCTTGAATGCATATTACGTGTGGTTTGAATTCTTTATCATCTATCACCTTTTTAAATTCTTGCCCATTAGCGATTAAGCTCCTTGCATTCCACTGTAGAACTGATATTACCATTAAGAGCCTCCATATGATGCCTTTGTATCTGCTATTTGACCCTTAAGTTTTTCATTGACTTGTTCCAGAGTGATTCCTTCAATCTGAAGATGTTTTTCAGCTGCCTTGATTATGATTTTTATCCTCTCAGTTCTGCTTTCAGTTTGTGCAGCACAGTTTATTACCTCAGCTAGAAAAGTCATGAACTCAACTTTTCCAACTTTTAGAAAGTCTTCATTTAATTTGTGTTGCGAAGATGGCCTACTATTCTTGTTCATTAGGACCGTTGTACCATTTCCTTGCCCAACTTCTGTCTGTTTCACCTTTTTAACAGCCTCGGCATATGATATTCCCTCTTGCATCCTGACGTTCTGAATTTTTACAGCGTTCCTATGTACCTCACATCCCCCGAAGCCAGCACTGTGCTCGCCTCCACAGTTACAGCACTTTAAATGTGCCCCTTGCTCACACTGTCCATATTCATGGTTACCACTACATCTAGCACATCGCTGTTTTCCCTTACAGACTGCCGCAACATGCCCATATTTTTGACATTTGAAACACCTGATTGGAGGTGGTACATATGCTCTTACCGCATAGCTGACATATCCAATATATACTCTCTCTGGCATTTTTTCTTCATCAAACTGAAGCATTACAGAAAGACTATCTACTTTCTCTTTATTACGTACACATTTTAGTCTTTTCACTTCAGTCACCTTAGCCCCCTTTATGTTGCTCTTTATTGATTCGGAAGATACATCGATTGGAATTCCATAGATTACTCCCCTTAACCAAACTCTCTTACTTGGTACTGTGCAACTCACCGATTGACCTAGCATTGATTTTATGCCCTGTGCCACTTTCTGTTGTTTTTCATTTTTACAGAAAATTAGAATACTCCCATTTCTCAAAGTCTTGGCACTCTCTACAAATAAATGATGATGTTAAGTTTAGAAATGTTGTGCATCCACTTATTATTAGTGTGACATTTTAGCATGCAAATGAAGGGGAAAACTTCAAGATATCGGCCCTAAAAATCGGCAGCATATATCGGCCATCGGCTGACCCTGACCTCTAAACATCGGCATCGGTTATAGAAAAACCCATATCGGTCAATCTCTAATCAGAACCATATTTTCAATGGGAAAAAAAATTACTTCCCTGGTAAATATCGCAATCAAAGTGATTATAAACATTGCTGTGCATCATTGAACAAATATTTGTCGACTGCAGAGTCTGTTTTTCACAAATAACAAAGAGATGAAGGGTGAAACTCTCCTGGTATGCAACAACAAGTATGACAGAACTTCGTTTACGTGGCTTCTTACCTGTTTCTATGTTTGTTTTACTCTAAAGCAAGCAGAAGTAGGTGGAGGAGTGGACACACCTGTTTTACAACCTGTAGTCACACCCCTTATACAGAACTAACTCATGCAATGGGATGTGACTGCAACAGAGCCTGTTTTCCAACCTGGGTTTAGCCTGCTGAACTCCTGAATGGTCTCCAGTGAGCTTGAGGAGTCTTTGGACACCCCTGGACTCCTCCTGTGCACTTCAGCACCCCAAGCCCTGGCCACTCTCTCGATCTCATCATGATCAGTGGACACCCAAACACTGCAAAAAACATGAGCAGAACACAATAACGTCTACTGCCATAGAGTGCAGCCAATCACTGAGTGAAGTCCCATTCAATCACCTGTCAAAAACGCCTGAGTCCAGCGCTGCTCTGATCACCCAACCTATCAAAGGAACACCTGCTAGCATCTTGATGTTCTTCAGAGGGATGCCTTTACTCCCTCCACGAGCGAGAATAAGAGCAGCGATGTATCTGGAATCTTCCGAGTTGACTTTTCTTCGTTTTGCATTGGAACAGTCTTCATTCAACCCTGAACAGTCTTCATTGCTCGCCGCGGCCATTAGTGTTGCTAATCGATGAATATCTCCCGGTAGTGCGGATAATAAGCAGTCGGATATAAGTGTATACCTAATCCAGACGCGAGCAGCAGGGCGTTTCGTTCATTCAGCAGCAATTTATCTAGTGTTACTCAAACCATAAAGTATTCAGCAGGAGAGGTAGTAGGCAACGCACCATGTCGTCACAAAACGTACAGGTGTGCCGAATTCCGACTCCCTCCTGCCGGGATCTGACTCCCCTCGCGTGCGCGCGCATGACGTCATACGATGCCGACAGTTGCGAATACAGACAGGCGCAAGTACTCAATTAAAATTTGTGTATTGGACAGTTTGATCGTGTATTTAACTGTGTATTTGTCTTTGATCATGTATTTAACTAGACTGGTATGATTTACAAAGCATTTAATACAGGGGGGTATGATTTCGGCAGCACTGCAGAATTCATATGGCATTCTATTGATATGCTCGATGCATAAGCACAAGGTCTTCACAGCTTTTCAGTGTTATCAGCATAAGGGCAAAGTAATTTAGACAGATTTAACTAAATATTTGAAATTGTTCTGCTCCCTAACAAACACATTCTGTTTCATAAGGAATATTGCAATAGAGAAAATGAGCACTTGTAGTAAAAACAAACAAACAATAAAAGCACAGCTAAACAGTCCAAGTTGTAAATCATACCAGTCTAGTTAAATACATGATCAAAGACAAATACACAGTTAAATACACGATCAAACTGTCCAATACACAAATTTTAATTGAGTACTTACGCCTGTCTGTATTCGCAACTGTCGGCATCGTATGACGTCATGCGCGCGCACGCGAGAGATCCCGGCAGGAGGGAGTCGGAATTCGGCACAACACCGTAATTACAGACAAAAACGGGCACTAATATATTTTAAGTCTGTTTACAGTATAATTGTATAATCATGCCATTATACTAAATTGAATTGAATAAAAATGTATTGCGAAAAAATATTAAAACAATTAATATGCCTGCATGGAAAAAGTATGAACTGGGAAAATGCGCAACATCCAGGTACTTTCGTTTACAACCAGGAAATCAAAGCAATTATCTGCTACAAAACTATCAAATGTATTGTCATAAAGGCGATTACATTCGGCAGTGAGCTTGTTTTGTTATTAGCAGTAGCGTGAACTTTATATGGGTTATACATTTTCTAGTTTTTCATTCAAAAATGTAAAAGAAAATGTTGGCTCGCAGCAGAAACAAGAGTTGTGACACGCTTTGACCTTTTGACGTGCTTCCAAACAACTCAGTCTGTTTGAATGGGTTTAATCGGGACAGACTGCAGTCTCGCTATATTTGCAGCGATTTCTAGTCATTATTAAGACATAATGTGCATTGATAATTACGCTGACTTCGCTTTTCAATAACATTTTATTCTGGGGAGTGATAAAGAGAGCATTAATATGGTCGCATGTTCCTTGGCAGTCAAATGTGACCAAACACCTTAAGTGTAACTTTTAATCAATGAAATAATTGTACTATACTTTAGTTAAGCTCTATTTAGTTAATATTTTGAGGAGATGTTTTTGTACTAAATAATGTGCAATAATTTTGATTCATGAATGACCATTTAAAATATAACATTTTCTAATATGCTTATATTACAATTAGTGTAGTATTTAGGGTTAAAATTGAGAAAACGGTTTTCATTATTTTGCACAATATTAAATAGGTAAAAAAAAAAGGTGTAACACTCGCAGTTAAATATAGGGTGCGTCCGAAATCGCATACTGCTTAGTAGGTACTACATTTTAATTTGATCGTACTACTCCACCGTTAAAAGAGTATGTGCTATATAGTATGAATGCGAGTAGTATGAATGGAACTCGGACGTACTACATCCGCCATGTTGATGTTGTCACGTGACATGCGTCTCCACAACAGCGCCCAGATTTAACCCTTTAACAGTCACACTAAGAAGTACATTTGCAAAAAATTATTTATTGCTAAAATTATGTTCCTGACACTACATTGAGCAACTTTTCCGTTTTTTTTTGTCAGATGACCCCTTCACTTAGCGGATACACAAGTCAACCAGCTGGTTGACTTGCCCAGTTAGGGTAACTCTCGGCATGTACTCATTTGTGCACCTAAAGTTGACGGTTTTTTTCATATAAAAACATTACAGACAGTAGAATATGTTAACAACATCCATTAATTTATTTAAAAAACATGTTTTTATTATAACAAACAATAAATATATTGTATAAAGTGCAAAGGTCAAAGAAATATAATAGAAATTGAATACAATTTAGTAAATAAATACAACAAAATAAATGAT